AATAAAAAATATTTGAATTGAACAAAAAATTAGTTAGAATGTTAAATATTCACATGTTCGAATACACTCCAATTCCGTTCACAACCCGATGAACTACATGTTAGGCTAAGGACTTTTATGGCAAACGTTTGCAAGTTTGGAGTATAAGAACCATATGATGCCCACCAATCAGCTGCGATAATCCACTAGTTAGAAATAACTGTTAACAAGTATTGAGTTTTACTAAAAGTATTACTAAAAATAAACTCTGAGTCTTTAATATATTACCTGGTGCTCTTGTATTTCTTTGCCTAATCGCAACAGACTTGCGAAAAAGACTCTCAGCCTTCATATAAATACTCATCTCATTAGTGATAAAATCTTGAAAGTGACATCCGGGACCAACCTTTGCATGCATTCATAAAACCCATTCATCACTTCATGATCTTTTTGCACCTCTAACGCTTTTGGGTAAAAAAATTCTGGATTAAGAAAATGCGCAGCTGCATGTAAAGGCCGATGCAATTGGACATCCCATCTTTTGTTAATGATTTCGAAGATTTCATTATACTTCTCTTCTTTATGATCAAATGAACTTGCAATGCATTCTTTTGCCCTATCCATTGCCTCATAAATGTATCTCATGGGAGGTTTCTTCTCGGTATCAACCAATCTAAGCACTTTGACAAGAGGACCCGAGACCTTAAGGGCAAACACAACAATATTTCAAAATAAAGGCATCAACAAAATTTGTGCCATTCTTTTTACCTTGTGGCTCCTTTGCCCATTTGCTTGAGGTCCAGTCTTCGGAGGTGACCATCTTTCTCAAATTGTTTTTTTGTTGATGCATCCTAGACAAAGTAAAAAAGGCGGTTGCAAATCTAATTTTTGCAGGCTTGATCAAATTCTTCAAATTTGTATAGCGCCTCATCATGTTTAGCAACGTAGGCCGATTGTAAATGTAGCTATGTACTGCAATACCCCTTTCAAATGTCTTTTTCAGTCTAGGTATCTTGAAAATGTCTTCTAACATCAAGTCCAAACAATGAGCAGCACATGGTGTCCAATACAAGTGTTCATACTTAGCTTCCAAAAGCCTCCCTATAATATAACAATAACGAAGAATTATTATTTTTAAGTTTTTAAATTTTAAATACAAAACAAACTATGAGTAAACAATTTTGATGTAAGGAATGAGGAAATATTCTTACTCGCCAACACATTAGCTGCAGCACTATCAGTGATAACTTGCACCACATTCTCTTTTCCAACTTTCCCCACAAACTTGTCTAGTAATTCAAATAGCTTTTGCCCATCCTTTGAATAGCTAGAAGAATTAACCGACTCAATAAACATGGTTCCTCTGGACAATTAACTAAAAGGTTAATCAATGTCCTTCCTCTCTTATCAGTCCAACCATCAACCATTATGGAACACCCGTATTTTGCACAATCCTCTTTATGATTCTTCATCAAATTTTCAGTATGTTTCACTTTTTTTTTGAGTTGGGTAACCCGCACTTCATGGTAAGTCGGTGGCTTCATACCAGGACTATATTGGCCAATGGCTTCAATCATTGGTCTAAAACTCTCATAATTTACTGCATTAAAAGGAACACCAGCATCATACATCCACCTTACAAATCTTTGCACTGCCCGAGCTCTCATTTCTTTTCTGTAAGGGTCATTTGCATCAATTTTGGTTTGTTTTCCTTTTGCTTGGTCTCTTCGATTTTTCACCACTGATTCAGGATTGGATGTGAAGTAAACATCCATAGGCCCTTTTCTCTTTGGCATTTTTGATTTGGATTTGGATTTGGATGAACCTTGGCTACTACTTGTCAACTTACGGTGTTGATTGACATTGATCTCAACGACATCATCATCTTCATCTTCATCTTCCATGTCCATGTCCATGTCCATGTCCATGTCATTGAAATCAGGCAACATGTTCATTTCTTCTTTTTGTGTCTCTTTTTTTTACATGAACTCTCTAATCTCTTCTCTTACATGAGAATGACACTTCGGGCAAGCAGTGACATTCCTATAACCTCCCGCGAGGTGTTGTTTCACCCGATAAACACCTCCATTTGATACTTTACCAGAAAAATTACACTCGAACTTGTTTAAATTATTCTCCTCTACCAAATGGGCATATTGCCACGCCAGATCTTTTCTATTACTTTCCGATGTCATTTTCTACACAACAAATTTAATAAATGGAAAAATAATTGTATTAAAAGAATAAATGGAAAACAAATTTAATTCCTAACAGATAAAGGAAAAAAAAAAAGACCAATACCACATTGTATTAATTAATTATTTGTGAATAATTAATTATTTGTAATTTTTTTTCCCTAACAAATAAAGGAAAAAAAAGATCAACAGCATATTACAAATAATTAATTATTTGTAATTTTTTTCCCTAACAGATAAAGAAAAAAAAAGATCAATAGCATATTACAAATAATTAATTTTTTTTTCCCTAACAGATAAATTCTTCTCTTACATATTACAAATAATTTTTTTTTCAATAGCATATTACAGATAATTTTTGTAATTTTTTCTGTAATTTTATAATTTCAGAGACTCAACTCAAATAATTGAAAAAAAAAGAAGAAGCAAAACAGAGTTGAAGTCGAAGTCTGAAGAAGGAGAGAGAGGAAGAGTCGAAGTCGAAGACCTGAAGTAGTCGAAGACCAAAGAAAAAAAAAAAAAAAAAACCAACCAGAACTAAAAGTCGAAGCAGAACTGAGAGTCGAAGAAGAAGAAGAAGAATGAGGAGGAGAAGGGGAGACAGAGTCGAAGTCGAATAGACCTGTGAAGCCGAAATCGAAGTCCCAAGTCGTAGGCGCAGTTGCAGCCGCAGTCGCAGTTGAAGTCCAGCTCCAACAGTCAAAGTCGAAGTCGATTGCGAGGCAAAAGAGGAAGAGACGACTTCAATTAGGGTTCATCTGAGTCGTATTTGGCTCATATGGTACATGAGTTGTAATCCTCTGTGATTACGAGCCATTCGAACACACCCTTACAGCCGTTAGATCAGATCTATCTCTTAAACAATCAGCCGCGCCTAGGCGAGAGCCTTGCACATCTCTCACCTGGTTCAAGTCGCTGCTAAGGCGCGCGCCTTACTAAAAGCGCCTCGCCTGGTACCTATTCAGTGGCACTGCCTGCGCCTCGCCTCACCTTGCGCCTAGGCGCGCTTTTCACAACACTGATGAGGACCCAACCCAAGTTGGATCCCCATGTTACTAGAAGAACAGGTTTAAAAAATATCACCTTTCTTTCGCATTTAGGAATTCATTCAGAGCAGAGCCCCATCAAATGGGAAGAAAAGATGCCAGGTTCTTCGTTTCTCATAAAACATGGGGAAAACTGTGCACATACGAAACTGTACAATGTGTGCATACATTTGTGTGTGTGTGTGCGCGCGCAATTTCAAAGTCTTTCTTTTTTATTTATTGACAACAGCAATTTCAAAGTCTTCTAGGCCAAAGAAACTTCCTTACCATGGAAATTCTGAAATAGGAGTGGACTGATTATAATAAAAGCAAAAATGTGCATTTTTAGTTTGTATACCATGAATGTTCAATTGTGCAAAGCTATGCACACTAATATTTCAAGATCACTCAGACTAAATCAAAACATAAAAAAAAAAGGGGGGGATAAAATAACAGCATGAAGTAAAACCTGCGAAAATAAGAGAAAAAGCAAAATGAAATGGAATAGACAGATGGAGGAAATCAGTTGTAACTCACACACATTATCCTTCTATGAACATTAAGTTTCTCCTTCACATATTTTTAATCTGCTAAATCAAACCGAAGAGGGCACTCTTGTAATTACTTATACAAAATAAAGGGAATCTCTTGAAATTCTAATCAGTGCACTTCTCTTAGAATATATCAACACGCTAACCCTGTTGGAGTGAACCAATTCACAAAAACTCTCTTTCTTCATAATGAAAACAGAAACAGAGTTGTGAAGTATAAATTTTATATGGACCTTGGATACAACGGTAAGCCGACTGTGGGGTACATCCTTAGAAAAAACGAGATGGAGGATTAGCTTAGGAAAGAAAAGTATAAAAAAAAATTGGGAGAAAAAATTTTTGAATGGCATCTAAACTATGGATTAAGCCCTCCCTGGAACAATAATATGGAAGATTGCAATAATGCACACAGAAAAAGTAATGATATATATGTGGTGTCAAAATGAGAAGTAGTCAAAATTTAAAGATAGAATTTGAAAGAATGAAGATGATAGGATCAAGGACTTTTTATGCACATCATTATTATTATTAATATTATTATTATTATCAGCAACAAAGACGAAACTTTATTAAAAAGAAGGATGAAGTACAAAAGGTGGAGGACAAGAAGTCCACCAAAAAGAGGAAAAGAAGAAGGAAAAAAAAGGGAAAAAGAAAGCAAGAATTATGCGCATTATACTGTGCTTTTTTTTATTAGAAAGAATTCTCTATGTGGGTATTTCTCGAAAAAGTAGAGAGGATCAGCTTTCGTTGGTGTTACAAGCATCTATGCTACATTATAGACAAACTTCACCAGATTCTTTTTTCTTTTTTGATAAATTCCTTCACTAGATTCATGACATGAATAAGGGATTAAATATAGGCTCTCGTAAGTTTATGCATACCATCTAAAACAAATATCAGAAAAAAATACAACTTGGATGCTTGACTGACAAGAACTAATAAGTACTTCGAATTTTCAGTAAATATGTTCAGATTTTACAGTATCTTGTCCTTGTATATCTCCATTACCAATTGTCATTCCAAAATAAAGGCTTACTAGGAGTAATAGTTAATGACTCGTTTAATTCTCTAGCATCCATTACTCGATGATTGTTGGATACTAAACCAATACAAGTAAAAATATGTGAACAACATAAGTATTTGCAAGAAACAATAACAAGCAAAAAAAAAAAAGAACACAAGTAGAGATAAAAATAAAAAATAAAAAATAAAAATAAAAAAGTATAAAAGATTAAAGAAAGACTTGCCTTTGTCACCACATAATCTATGGAAGGTTCAAAACTAGCAGGTGTTTTCTTTGTGATGTCATTAGGAATCTGATCAAGTGAGTAACCAACTGATAACTTGGCAGCCATTTTGGCTATTGGGAAACCAGTAGCCTTGGATGCTAGAGCTGAAGACCTTGAAACTCTAGGATTCATCTCAATTACCATAACTTCTCCATCATCAGGATTGACAGCAAATTGAACATTTGAACCACCGCATTCGACTCCTATTTCTCGTATGATGGCAATCGAGTAATCCCTAAGTCGCTGGTACTCCTTATCCGTGAGAGTCTGAGCAGGGGCCACAGTGATCGAATCCCCAGTATGGACACCCATTGGGTCAAAATTTTCAATCGAGCATATAATAACCACATTATCCGCCAAATCTCTCATAACTTCAAGCTCATACTCCTTCCACCCCAATAAAGACTTCTCTACAAGAACCTGCGTCGTCAAACTAGCTGCAAGCCCCGACTTACATATTGATTCAAATTCCTCCTTATTATAAGCAATCCCACCTCCCGTCCCACCCAATGTGAACGCAGGGCGTATAATCAAAGGAAACTCCCCTATTGAACTTGCAATTTCAATACACTCATCCAGAGTAGTCCCAATACCAGAAGGAGGTGTCTTTATCCCAATATTCTTCATTGCCTGCTTGAACAATTCTCTATCTTCAGCTTTCTTAATCGCGTCAAGCTTTGCTCCAATCAATTCGATACCATATTTCTCAAGCGACCCCCTCTCTGCCAAAGCCACCGCAAGGTTAAGAGCTGTCTGCCCACCCATAGTGGGCAATAAAGCATCAGGTCTCTCCTTCTCCAACACTTGCTCAACAAGTTCAGGAGTCATTGGGGCAATGTAAGTCCTGTCAGCCAAATCAGGATCAGTCATAATCGTAGCCGGGTTTGAATTGATGAGAATAACCTCATACCCCTCTTCCTTAAGAGCCTTACAAGCTTGTGTTCCCGAGTAATCGAATTCACAAGCTTGCCCAATAATAATCGGCCCTGCACCCAGAATCAGAATCTTCTTTATATCAGTTCTTTTACCCAATTGCTGATCACTCAACCCTCCTCGATTCGCCGAATCATTGTTTGCAGCAGAAACACAGCTCACTCTCTTGCATAATCTGGGAGAGCGCACGATTGAGTGGTGCGATTGAAGATTCAAATACCGCGAATTGATGGGTTTCTTTGAGTAGAAAAAGAGGCGAAGAGAGTTGGGTTTCGACAAATAGGACTTTGAGGGAGTTAGAAGAGACGAAGATGGTGATGAAATGAGCCTAGAAGTCACATTTTCGCAGTGTTTGATACAATAACCCATCTGATTCTATTGTTCTTCAGCTACCTTCAATGAAACAAAGAAAACAATTTCCCAAAGCTCAGAAAGAGACAGCAAGAGATGGAGAAAGTGTTGTAGAGAGTCTAGGGTTTCGAAGATCCTTGGGGAGCCATTCACAGTGCTCACTGGTGTTTGTGTTTTGTCCTCATCGATTGTTGGAGACTCGTTTGGAAGAGTGTGTTAGTTTAGAAGTCAAAAAAAAATTATTTAAAAAATTAAAAGTTTTATAATTTATATTAAAAAATTAAAGATTTTTTTAATTATTTTTATTACTTTTTTTAATTAAAAAAAATTATTTCAAAAAAATATTGAAAATATATTAATTTTTTTATTTTATATTTTAATTAAAAAATTATTAAAAAATCTATTTCAAAAGCCGATAAAATTGTCTCTCTCTCTTCTCATTTTGTTGCTGTTACATTTTGATCATGGCAGACCGACCTTGTCGCAAACCTTATCTCTCTCCACTTTCTTAACCTTATCTCTGCACTTAGCAGCTAATAAGGCTTCGCCACTCAGAGTTGGTCTGGATTGTAGACTAAAGTAAATGGATTTTCGTTTGAAATACATTATTTTAATAAATTTTTAATTTTTTAATTAAAATATGAGATAAACAAATTAATATGTTTAGAATAATTTTTTTAATTTTTTACAAAAAAAATATACAAAATATAGAGAGAAAAAATAATATTTGACTATAAGTTAGGCTTTTTTGATTTTGTTTAGTAATTTTTTGACTTTTAGATTACGGGCTGGTTATATAAGTCAAAAAGTTACTCTAAAATCCAAAATATATCACTATTCACAAAAAAAAATTAAAATATCAATTTTCTTCAAAATCACTATTCACCGAATTGATGTGTGTGGCAGTGCTGTGTGCGGCAGTGGAGGAAAAAGAAAGGATTGGGCGTGGTTTTTACACACACCGTTGTTCGTCCCATAGAGGTCATCACGGGTCCCGTTTTGATAATCTGAACCGTTCAATATGTAGAAATCGTCAAGTACTATATGTCTGAAAAAAATCACATTGATCGGATATCGATAACTATATGATCAAATCAGTTATGTACAACAAATGGATGGTGTTATAATTAATGATTGAAAAATAAATAAATCTGATCAGATAGCTATCGATATCCGATTAACGTGATTTTTTATAGGTACATAGTGTTCGACGAGTTACACACATTGAACGGTTCAGATTATTAAAATGGGACCCGTGATGACCCCCACGGGCCAAACAAAACCGTCCAGTGCTTTGTACAAAAATTAGCCAATAATTTCCAACCCCAATTCACTCCAGCCGGTTGTACGGCTGGGGCCACCTCTCTCTAATCATCTCTTACATACTTTTTTTATATAATTTTTTAATACACATTTTTTTATAAAAAGTCAAAAAGTTAACCCAAACTTTCATATTTTTTTCTCGACTTTTTTAGTTCAAAAAGACAAAAAATGCACTTTTTTAGGACACTCCAAACCAGCCCTAAAACAAGTAAATGTTGGCTTTGGATTGGTTTGGAATGTGGGTTAATTTTTTATTTTTAGTTATTTTAATTTGGGGTTAAAAAGTTTTGTTTGAGATAAATTTTTTAATTTTTTTGATTTTTGTGGGAAAAAAAACTAAAATGATTGTAATTTTTTTTTTTAACGAATAAATGATTATAGTTTAAACGTGACATTTTGTCTCATTAATTTTTTTAGTTTTTTTTTGTAATTATTTTAGTTAAAAAGCCAACCCAACCAACATGCCAAATGAGTGCATTGTTTGGAGATTAAGCATTTTAGTTAAAAAGTTAAAAAATCATTATAAATTGTCACATCGCTCTCTTTACTTTTTTACACATTTTTTATAAAAAATTAAAAAATTATTAAAATAATATATTTTCAAATGAAACTGTAAGTCAGAATACTTGTCACATTATTTTCTTTAGGAAAAATTACCCATAAGTCCCATATTGGGAAATGTTACTTCATCTAGTCCTGAGTGTTTTTTCTTAAACCATTTAATCCTTTTTTCTTAAACCATCATTCATCAAACATTATTCTTCAACATTATTCTCCAAACATCATTCATTAAATATTATTCAACATTATTCATCAAACATTGTGAACATCAATAAATCATCAAACATTAATCATCAAACATTATTCATGAAAAACGAGTTCAACTTTTGCTCTTGTTACCTATGATCTAAGTGTTCAGTATTGTATTCCAGTGCAGATCAACTATGTTCTCTCCATAGAATTCGATTCTCAATAACATCTAAAGAAAAAAAGTAGAAAAACAAAATCATGAATAAATAACCATCAATTGGATCTGTTTTGTGGATCTCTGAACTAGAGAGAGCTCAAACTGAAGAATCTCGAGAGCAGCTTTCTCATTCCGCCATGACCACTTCAAGAGCTCTGCATCGGTAGTCGAAATCAAAGTTTCGTAGTCGTCCGTCATCGACCCTTCTCCTGATCCCAAGACCCTGCACTAGGGTTTCTGTTCCGCCATTATCCAACATCCTCCACATTAGATCCCAAAGACACCAAAGCTCTCATCGCTATCGAAATCCCCTTCGTAATTTCCTTCATCTTTGTTTCTCTTTCAGAATCTCCATCACAATCTACTCCTCAGCCCTAATTTACAGAGGCAAAACCTCGAGCTTAATGGAATTGATTTCATGGATTGTATCGATTTGGAAGAAACCAGTAATCACATTGATACATGTTTTGATTTTGATAATCGGTTACATCGTTGTGTCTCTGATTTCGATCAAATTGACTGGCTTAAAGATGTTTTTGATGTTACGATGATGTTTGATCAAAAAAATTGTTATGATGATGTTTGATTAAAAAAAAATTGTTATGATGATGTTTGATCATAAAAAATTGTTTAATCATTATTTTGATGTTTGATGTTATTTTAATCGTTATTTTGATGTTTAATCGTTATTTTGATGTTGTTTTGATGATGATGTTGTGATATTTGATGTTGTTTTGATGATGATGTTTGATGTTGTTTCGATGATGTTACTCATAAATCTGATGTTTGATGAATAATGTTTGATGTTTGAAAAGAAGAGAAATCATAAAAAGGCCTATAGTAAGCTTCTTGGGAAATATGACTTATTAGTCTAACAAAAAACCTTTAAAACTAAATGGGTTAATATTTCCAAATTTAAAAATTTATTGGTTTTTTCCCCTTTTCTTTATTTTGTTTCATATCTTTTCATAAAAATTAAAAAAATCAAATAAAATAGACGTTGTCCCTAACTAAACTAATGTATGCATTAAAGATAACTAAAATAAAATAAAACAAATTTACACACAAATTTGTTATGTGCAATCTATCGTCTACTATTGACGCCATCAATGGGTTTAGTAAAAGGGTGATGATCCATCAGTGTATTGGTTCGATTTATTTATTTATTTTTCTGATTCATAATAAAATTTATAAATTTTAATTATTAAAGTCATCAATTTTTTCCATCTATAAAAAATATATATCTATATCTATATATAATAAGGGAAGAAGGATTTTGAAAATATGTAAAATGTATCACAGATAAATTTCATTTTAAGGGCTCAGATCAATTGTGATACACATCAATGGTTGAGATTTTGCTTCAATTCCCGCCCAAACACTCGATGCTCTCTCCCACCTACCCACGTCTCCACCCCCATTCCATTTTTATCTCTTCTCTGTTGCACGTCTCCTCCCATTCCCTCCTTATCTCTATCTCCCTCTTTGTTCCTCTTCTTTATCTTTCTCCTTTTCTCTCACCCGATCTCTGCCTTCCCCCTCTCCCCCCACCCTCCTGCTCGCTGCCTCTCCCCCTCTACCCGATCTCTGCCTCTCGCTGCCTCTCCCCCCACCATTTCGCAACCCGGGTTTCCGATTAAGAACCGCGATACCTTTCTGAACCCCGATTGGAGCTCTCCGGTAAAGCTACTTCAGAGCTACACCAAACCTGAGTCTTCTATCTGTGTAAGGTAATATTTTTGTCTCTATTCCCCTCTTTCAATTGATCTACTGTTAATTTCTGAGTTCTGAGGCCGTTTATCAGATCCCTATTTTTCTACTATTTTCTGTCACTTTCTCACGATTTCTTGGGCTGTTCTGCGTTCTCTCAATCGGGCTATGAACAGGTTATTTTAAGGTTGTGAACAGGTTATTCGAATGTTGGTTTCAGGTTATTCAAACAACTTGCTCTATTTTTATTTTGTCTCTATGGTTTAAAACTTCTTAGTTGAATGTTTATATAAATTTTCTGAATATTATGACAACCAAAACTATTCCTCTAACATAAACAGAGTGATACACAGAGTGATTAATCTTCAGAATTATTTTGGGATTAATTTTCTGAATGTTTATATAAACAAACCACAAAGAAATAGGTTATGTTATGTTATGATAAACAGAGTGATAAACAGGATTAATCTTCAGAATTATGTAAACAAATTATGTTATGTTAAAGGAATACTTCTTAGTTGAATGTTTTGGTGGTCATAGGTTATGTTAAAGGAATAGTTTTGGTGGATATAGCAACCTTGGTTTAAAGGAATATTATGAAAATATTCAAAGTTTGATTTTTTTTATTTTGTATTCAAACAATCTGCCTTATTTTTACAATCTGTTTTATTTTTGTATTCAAACAATCTACTCTATTTTTTGTATATGGAAAGCATTTTTTTCCAAACTTATAATATGTTAGGTTCTTATTTTGTATTCAAAATATGTTAGCCATCAATATATAAATACAATTAATTAATTAATATCATTAAGAAATTTAATTCACAACCTTAATGCAGGCTATTGCAACCAACTCTAAGGTAAGGCTATTCATGTGCAATGGCATTAAGTTTGAATTGTGAAAATAAACGCCAATTGGTTATTAATGTGTTATTTTTTTTGTCTAATCTCCATTTAACTGGGTATAGTTTCCTTCTCTTCGGCTTCACTTCCATTTGTATCATATAAATTTTGTGTGTTTCAAATAAAGACACTTGCCAACATACAAATATTTATAAACTTAATTTTCAATTTCTTTTCAAATTTTCCCTCTGCTGCTCTCCAGCCCTGTTCTTCTTCTTCCATACCCTCACTCCCGAAACTGCTGCTCTCCAGGTAAGATCACTCTTTTCTTTCCAACGTATTTGTAGAATCTAACAACTTTCTCCTTGATAGCTT